ACAGCTCTCCTCCTACAAAGTTTTTTTTTTATTATCTGTCAAGTCACTATTTTTGTTAAGTTTTGTTTAAAACCCAGAAATAACTTTTTAAGCTCCAAATAGCACCACTGGTTTTAATTCAACTTAAGTTTGTGTGGTGCACTTGATTTTATACATGTTGCATTTCCTTTGATTACTATTATTTTTCTTTTCTTTTTTGTTTAGTACGCTGTTATTACAACTTGCAATAAGTAAACTTATGACTTCCTTACAGTAAACAGGTATTACTTCCTTACAAGTTTGCATAACCAGTGGGTCTTGAATAGAATAGGTAAACCTCTGGATGAATACTCATAATAGGATTGCATTTCCTCTACAGGACCACAAATTTTCTTGTATCTGGTACTAAAAGACTATTTTCACTGATGTAACCTGTATCAATCTGCCTGCGCTCTGAAATTTGTATCAGGAGTCCCACATACGTTCTCACTTATGCAGAGAACTAGTTCATAAAAAGCATGTTTTCCCACCAATAGCCCTACTTCTGTGAAATACTTTACATTAAGGATGTAAAAGATCACTGAAGGCCATTAAAAATGTTTCCCAAACTAATTTGTCCTTTTTATTGCTTTCTGCTTAAAAAAAGTCTCGCTGGCTAATTAGGAGAGAGATTCCTATTGAAGTTGGCCTGTAATATTTTTAACCGAATAAATAAGAGTAGAGAACTAAATAGACTTTGACAAACTATTGAATTAAAACTTCACCATTTCATGATTTCAGCAGTTAAAATGTTCAGCAAGCAGCTGAAGATGCCAATGGGGATGTTGTTCAGATTGCCTTTTTTGAAGAGAAGGGCAGTCAATGCCCTATTCAGGCATGTCCCAGGCAGGGAACAGAGCTTTGCTCCTACCACCTTCTGAGTCAGAAAATAAGCCCCCAGCCAAAGTTTCAGCTCTCTGAAAATTGCAAATTCTGGTTAAGAGCCCTTGAACAGTCCAGTCTTTGTCTGGAAACAGGAAGCCTATACCTAACCACCCTATGACTATATTCACAAGATGCATTTGCTCACAGTTATAAGAACTAGCATTGTGAATCTATTTTAAGGGTATAGGTAATTTATGCTGGGTTCTAATGCAGAGGAATGTTTTTTTTTTCTAATTCTTTGCCCTTTCAAAAATATTCTAATTCATTAACTGCAGAGTAGGTAAAAATTGTATTTTTTTAAAAAAAAACCAGAAAAACCTACAAACATGTGGTTTTAGACTACTCAGGTTGGGACGGCCTCTTAATGTTGAGCATGGAAGGAGTTCCAAGAGCAATATCATTCTGTACATCAGAGATAATTAAAAAAAAGCAAAACAGAATCCTCAAAAGGAAGTTTCCTCCACATAATTGCTTATTATTATGTTGGTCATACAGCTAGCCAGGTATTTAGACTGGATTTGGCCTTTTTATCTACTTGAGCCCTTCCTCAGGACTTGGGAAAGGCAAATGTTATTATCTACCCCACAACACAAATCAGAACTACCAGTTGTGGTGTTTGCCTTCATTTGAATTGAATTCTTCCCGAGAACCGAGGATATCATAATGTCAATGTAGTATATGTGTGGATCCAGGCACTATGGATTTTTGTAACTGACAGATGGAAATTTTGTCAATGCCACATTTTCTAAGTGCCATCCAAGATTTTTTGTCATGGCACTCAGTGAGCCGATAACCGTTGGAACCACCACTGCTGATTTATGCCATGATCTCGATACTTTTGATCTTCTCCAATTCTTTCTCTTCTATTCTACTATCTCCTGGTATTGCTACATCAATTACCCACACTTTTTTTAACCACAATTACACCTGGTGTGTTATGCACCAAGATTTTATCATTCTGTACTCAAAAATTCCACAATATTTTAACCTGCTCATTTTCAACTACTTTTTAAACTATATGTTCCCATTCATTACTGGAAAATGATAATTTTTACATATGTTAATAATCATCATATTACAATAGTCAACATAATTGACAATATTATTACACACAATAACAGTATTATTATAATTAAATTATTAAAATAATAGTATTACTATAATTGAATTATTACGCACAATAATTATTATAATTACCATTATTATTATTCATGGCTAATCTACAATTAGATTCACAATCTAAGACTGGTAGAAACTTAATAATTCAAGAATTGACCAAGGACCTAAGAATTATTTAGTAGCATCTAAGAATATAGCCAGTTCGAATCAGGGTGGTATTTGTAAAATTAGGATGTTCAAATATGATAAATTCAATATTTCCAAATATTTAGAATGTCCTTTTATACATGTTGCATTTCCTTTGATTACTATTATTTTTCTTTTCTTTTTGCAATCACAATTGGTATAAGAACAGATTTCTTTTTCCATAGAACTTTATTTCAATTCAGTTATTATTTTTATTATTATGGAGGGTCAGCCAGATATTATAATAATAATAATGATGATGATGATGATGATGATGATAAAATTGGAAGGGACCTTGGAGGTCATCTAGTCCAATCCCCTGCTCAGGCAGGAAACCCTATACCATTTTGGACAAATGGCTGTCCAGTTTCTTCCTAAAAACTTCCAGTGTTGGAGCATTCATTGCTTCTGGAGGCAGGTTGTTCCACTGGTTAATTGTTCTAACTGTCAGGAAGTTTCTCCTTAGTTCTAGGTTGCTTCTCTCCTTGGTTAGTTTCCACCCGTTGCTTCTTGTCCTGCCCTCAGCGCCTTGGAGAATAGCTTGACTCCCTCTTCTTTGTGGCAGCTCCTGAGATATTGGAACACTGCTATCATGTCCCCCTTCGTCCTTCTCTTCATTTTTTTATCCATCTATTGAGTCCTTCCCAAGTATCTGGGATGGAAAGATGTTTGATATTCATTATTATTGTTTCAGTATTCTTCATCAGTATTAACTTAATCCCAGGGTAATTCTAATGTCATCCAAAATGTTTAGAAAATAAGCTGATTTATATCAAAAAAGCTATTGGTCCATCTAGTGGACATTATCTGCTTCTAAACTCAGACATATAGCTAAACTGCTGACTCCCAGCATTCCACATTATTGGTCAGGCTAGCTCAACTACCCCCTACACCTCATTGCATATATTTAATTCTTTTGATGGAATATTATTGCATTTATATTTATATTATAGCCATAAGAAAATATTTGCCATACAGACATATAGGCAATTAATGAAATTGCAATTATTTAATGGAGTTTCTTGCTGGATTTTTTACAAGATTTTATCAAAATCTTGTATTTTGACTGGGATTATTTTTTTAAAAAATCCTAAACTTTATTTTAAAAAATAAGCACTGAAATTAAAAGCAAATCTAGAATTTTTTTTTTTTGAAAGCACAGTTGCTTGGAGCTGATATAATGGGACTTAATCTGAATTGAAAGAAAGCCATGAAAGAATTCTATTCTACCTAAAATGAAAATTGTGGAAGACAAATATATTCCTATAGAGCCACCTGCTGAGTGAAACAGATGTTACTGCTAGGACTTAATAGTGCAGTGATCTCTCTTGTTCTGACAGAGCCTGACTCTTTCTTGTAGTCAACTGCCGCTCTGAATGACAACAGCATTGTAATAATTCTGTGATGTTTTGCTTGAAAAAGCATCCTATCTTGTTACACTAGATCTTCACCCATATTCCAAGGCAAGAATTCTCAGATCATCCCTTATCAATAGCTGCTTCACTCAAGGATTCCTATTGTACAGAAGATATTTGCTACTGACTTTTTCTCAGTCTAATCCAAGGTTCTCCAATCCCCGGACCACGGACTGGTGCTGGTCCATGGCCTATTGGGAATTCCCTCCCCCCACAGAAACGGTCCCTGATGCCCAAAATATTGGGAGCTGCTGGTCTAATCTATTGCCTTGATATGTCCTGATCATTTTCCATAGGAATACTAATCATGATCAATCCTACTTGGCTCCCTTGAGATCAGCTAAGGTCATCACTTTTACCAAATAAAAATCAACTGTCTGCATTTATGCAAGCTTTACAGTCACTGCCCACTAAGTACCTAACCTTCCTATTTGCATACAACTGAAGCCTCCTTACATCTATGAAATACTGCTTTAATCAGGGTTTCTAACAGTATGAAAAAATTTTTTGCAGTCAGACAGCCACAAGTAGGAGATTCACTCAACAATAAGGTAGTATCAGACTGAAGCAAGTTGGTGATTTTACTGGAACATTCTCTCATCTAGCTAAATTCTTCTAAAAAACCCACAAATAAGATCATAGCATCCCCCCATGGATTTGGTCTGCCTGTTAACAACTTGTACTATCACAGAACATGGAAGATTCTATTTTCAATTTGCACATCTATTAGCTCCTTATAATTATCTTTCACAATTGTGGGATTTCTGGGTGAGACAAATGGAGAATTGGATGTCTCCTGGTGAGCAGAGGCAATGATGCAGTGATAACCAATAGAATGGCAACAAGCTTAGTCTAACAGAAGCTCTCTGGATAAGGAGAGGATAAGAGATTGCCCATTTGTGCTCCAGACAGTTGCTCCTTTTTATATTTTGTGACAACCTTCTTGAAGGAAAGGTTGACCAGCAGCCAGTGTAGCCGCATTCAGCTATTGCCCTTGCTTGTAAGGCTCTACACCTGAGAACCACAATGATACACTAACCTCATTTCCATTCAAGTTTTTTGTCACCCTGTTCTGTACTAACAAATTGCTTCAGAGGAGAGCTTCTTCTCTTTGTGAAGATGTCCATGCCCATATTAGTACCCTGAAAAGCAGGAATTTTAAGGAAGGGGAGCAGTGATCTGCAGGACACTGGGAAAGAGAGGGAGAAGACCTTGACCGCAAGACAAACATATTTAACCACAACTTGCCAGCCATATTTTAGTCTAATAAGCCTTCGAGGTTTAACACACTGTGATAATCCAGAAAGCTACGTTGAGGGCACCCGGCTTAACCATGAGACAGTATAACTTCAAAACACAGTTTGCATACGCGCGTGCATATGGATCCAGATCTGGTAAATTTTTAGAATCTAAAATGTTGCCAACCTGGTTCTTTTACAGGGCAAGACACCAGAGTATATTGCTTAATATTTGTTCAAGGCGGAGTGCTGTACTATTGCTCTGGGCAGTGAATCAGAATCAGTAGCAGTGTTACATTAAAGGCAAATCCACTCCCGCGTTTGCATTCGTCTTTCCAGCCTCCCAGCCGACAATCAAAAATTACAGCCAGAGGAATTATCAGGTAACCGCGGTGTCTCCAATAGGGATTAACTTCATAGGTCCTGATGAATGTATTGTTGTCATGGGATAGATAGAGCGATAAGCGCTGACGAGGCTTCTAAAGCCAATTTCGCTTCTAGCTTTTTTCTTAAGGGAATTAAATAGAACGTGGGGGTCAAATAACAGAGGAGCGCGATCGCCGCCTCTGTTTTGCCTTTGCTTTTCTCCGTTGCGTAGGTCTAGCTAGCCGGGAAATACGGAACGCCGGATTTTCTAGATTTTAATCGCACTGCTCCAAATTGATTATGTGCCAGCATTAAAAATATAAAATTCCTACAAGACAGTTCCTTCACCGTCTTAGCTACCGTAGGAACAACCCGTTCTATACATTATGTTTTCATAGACAACTTCGCCCCCCACCCCCGGCTATTCCCTCACAGACACACGAGAGTTAAAAGACAAGTTGGCAGGATCCCCCCGCCAGGCATACGTGGAACGGCCCGGAGTCTTAGCTAGCGTGCTTTGCTATTGGCTAGCGAACAAGGAAGAAAGCAACGCGATCAAGTATCGGCGATCTTCTATTGGTGGAATGGAGCACCCGGTGGCTCGTCGGGCACTCTTGGGGGACGGTGTTTCGAGTCGTAGCGCGAGAATAAACACGCGCTTGGCTTGGCCTGGAGTGGGCGATTGGGTAGTGGACGTGGTCTGTCCCAGCGTGCCCATTGGCTGGCGGGAGAACAGGGCGGGGAGAGCCGTGAGAAGCGGTGGGTGGGTCGGGTGCCTGTGGGGTAAGAAGCTTGCAAAGGATCGCGGCGGCGGCTGCGGCAGAGGACGGGCGGCCTGTTGGGCGGCCTTGGGAACGGAGATGGCGCGTTGGCGCCTGTTGGCTGGGTAAGGAGAAGGGCGCAGAGGGGGGGAAGGGGGTGGGGGGTGGGAAAGCGCGCAGATACGCAAGCCGGGGGATGAGTTGGGCCCTTCTCGGTCGGGATCCGCAGACCGGGCAGTGGGACAAAAGCAAAGGAGGTATGAGAGAGAAACGAGAAGAGAGAACTGTCGGGAATGGGGGGTGGGCTCCTCTCTTTGCTGATGCCTTTGAGAGCGGAGATTTCAGGGGCGGAGCGCTGGTGTGTGTGTGTGTGTGAGAGAGAGAGAGAGAGAGAGAGAGAGCGTGTGTGTGTTTATGGGGCCAGTCTTTTGGCCAGGTCTCATATCTAAAGGAAAGTATTAAGTACCACCTATAGGTAGAGGACGCGTCTTTACCACATTGAGTGTGTTCATGCAGGGAGGTCTCCACACGTTGCTGCTATTTCGTGGGAAACCGAAGGTGGCATTTGCGGCTTTACCTCTGTGGGTTTTTTTTTTTCATTTTCAAAACTGAATATTGAGCAGAGGAGAGGAAGCACATCCCAGGCATCCCTTGCATGCCCTGGATAGATCTATACCTAGATTGGTATCTATTTATAAATCTCCCCTTGGTGCTTAAAGGGTAGCAGAGTGAAAGCCTGTTGAGCAGAAGAGCAACACTACAGCCCAGGAAGGACCTTTGTCCGAACACTGATCTCAGGTGGACAGGCCCCTGAAGACCTTAAGATCTTTAAGCCAGATTCTAACACTTGTATATATGATATAGAACAGGGGTAGGCAACCCAAAACACTTAAAGAGCCACTTGGACCTGTTTCCCACCAAAAACAAAACACTGGGAGCCGCAAAACCCTTTTGATATCTAAAATGAAGATAACACTGCATATATCCTTTTTTACCTTTATTATAGGTGTGTGTGTTTGTGTGTGGGGGGGTATTTGTGTGTGTGTATGTGTGTGTGTGTGTGTGTATGTATATGTATGTATGCATGTATGTATGTGTATATATATATACACACACACACACATACACATACACACACAGGTTAAAAAAAGGATATATACAGTGTTATCTTCATTTTAGATGTCAAGAGGGTCTCTCTCTGTCTCTCTCCCTCCCTCTCTATCTGCCCTTGGTCTACCACTCCTCTTCCCCCACTCTCTTTCTTTCTCTCTCCTCTCTCCCTCCCTCTCTCTCTTTCTCTCTCTCTCTTTCTCCCCTCCCTCTCCTATCTGCTGATCACCTGGCAAGCTTCAAGCTGTTGTCCAACAAGATCAGGGGTAGGCAACCTCGTCTCTTTTATGACTCATGGACTTCAACTCCCAGAATTCCTGAGTCAGCCTAGCTGGGCTAGCTAGCTCTCTCCTGCCCTTCCTGCTTCCTGCTTCCTGCAGAGACGCAGCAAAGGGAGGAGCTCCGCCCAGTAAGCTTTTCAGCTCCTCAGAGAACATGTGAGTACACTCTCTTTTACACATACACACACACACACAAAACACACACACACACACACACACAGAGAGAGAGAGAGAGAGAGATTGAAGCAGGGAAGCGCAATTGCCTCTCTCTGTCTCTCTCTCTCTCTGCAAAGGCAGAGGAGGCTGGGAGCCACAGGGCAAGGCTCAAAGAGCCGCATGCGGCTCCGGAGCCGCAGGTTGCCGACCTGTGATATAGAAGAAGTGCTATTGTAATTATAATCTTTAATAGAATTACTTGGAAAAAATAAGATGCAGAAGTTTTGAGTGGACATGCTAAATAAATTCTGATTTTGTAAAATTATTGCTATAAATTCATAGGATACCAGGATGTATCATGTAATATTTTGATTGTAATAAGCAGTGGTATCCATGCATTCTAGCCCAATGTGCTTGGCATAAGGTGTGATGATTAATGCATTGCAAAAACAACCAATTATTCCTTGAAACAATTTGTTTTTGTTTGAGTAAGATTTTTTGTCATTAAATTCTGCAATATGAGCCGATGTTACAATAATTTTAATAAATACATTTATTAAATTTAATAAATATAATTTAAATGGTGGCCACTACTTTTGGCTCCATTGATGGATACATAATAATTTCTGATCTGATGTAGTTACCGGTACGTACGTTTGTATTTGGAAAATTAATCTTTCACTCTAAAATGAATATATTTGGAAGAAATTATGAAACCACTATATGGATTTTTAGCCATAACTATTTCTTAATTTTCATTCCTTTTTTCCTCTGTTTTTTAGTTTGTTCTTGTTCTGTATATCTGTTTATCCCTTGATATCTGCAGCATGAGATGATTGCAACAATAATTGGTTACAGTCCCAATATTTTCCAGCAAAGTCCATTCAGACATCAGCTGACCAATATCAAGTGTACAGTAATAGTTTTTTTAGTGGTTTTAAATATAAGTGTATGGTTTTACCAAGTGGGCCGTTATTTTCTCTCATCAGTATGAAAGTACAGAAATAAATTGCTTTGAGTGCGTTTGGTAGAGAAATGAATTAATACAGATGCTGAGGCACTATAAAGAACAACAAATTGCATCAGTGTTTCCTTTCAAAGGGGAGTTGTTACTGGTTAGGTTAAGAAAAGTTTGAACAGATTTTATATGGGTATGTAAATTAAAAAATGGCTGCATGATTTGTACATTAATCATTGGTGAAATAAAAGTCATATAGTCTATATTGCTGATCAAGTAAGAAAACGGAAGACTGGAATATTTTTGGAGGTAAAAAATTTCCTTTTCAGGCAAGCTAGACACTTTTAAAATGTTATGCTTGTCTATAGGTGATCATTCTCAAATATTGAGATGCAAAAAGTATTTTAAACAGTGAATTCTTTCAGTGTTATATTCAGACCTCTTAAAACAGCTATTTTTTTCCCCACATCAAATAATGTAGCCCAACTATTTGTACCAACTTTTACTTGGGGAACAAATATACTACTAATTCTAATTACAGTCATTTGCATTTGTACCTTCTAGAATGACATTCCCTTAATTAAAACTTTGGAATTTATATACTGCTTGTGGGTTTCCTAAATCTCTCATAAGTTCAGCTTCATACAATACTTTTTTCCCTGATCATTATATCTTGTACACATGCCTATATTTCTTCCTCAATTATTCAAAGCATTTCTCAACAATCAAATATAATACATACCATACTACTGGCTTAATCAGAAATAAATCCTATACAGTTTTTCACTGTATAGTATATATACACGAACACAGACATATATATATGTACACACCCAGACACATACCTAGACCCATTCCTACTTTATTCATAATCGTTACATTAGAGAATACGACAGTTATGGTTGATGGTTAAGGGATAATCAGCATTAAAAGATTTCAGCAGCAGTTCTTAACATCTTGGGAAAACTGAATGTAAAACACATTATTGTGTTGCTGTAGTTTAAGATGAACACAATGGTGTGAGAATAAATGCATGTCTTAAGCCATTAACATCCAAGGGAGTATGTAGCAAGCATATAAGATAGATACCATCTGTCTGTCATTTTCCACTTCTGTGGTCTTCACAGTCTGTCAGACACAGCATGTTTCAGAGGGTTTTTTTCTCATTTCTCTTCTTCCCAAGATCATTTTAATTACATTAGTTCTACTGTGTTAGTCTACCCATTACTACAACAGCAGACTATTTTGCTTGTAATTTTCAGTACATTCTTATAAACTGAATGTTTTTTTCTTTGGATTGGAAGGAACAGGGATTTTGTTTTGGGAATTTATATGTAGATTTCAGGTCACAAAACTTAGTGTTATTAGAACTTGCCAGCATTTACCTGCCAATAATTTGTCAGGAAATTAAATAACCTTGCAAACTGAGGTGAATGCTATACAGTTTTTAAAATTGTGCATTATATTCCATTGACTTGGGATATAGTTTTTGTTCAATGTTATAAAATATTGGAAGAAGAAATTGCTTCTTTTTCAAACTTGGGAGTTTGTACAGTACTAGCACATTTTTTTTTTCTCCAGTCTGGGAAAGATCTGGTTACATTGCTCCTTTAGCTGTGGAATGCACATCTCTTGTATTATAATTCTGGCAAGTGATAAAATATCTAATAAGGTGTGCAGAATTAATCATGCTTTACTGTGATGAGAGTCTAGTAGGAGAAATACTGTTAAATTAGAATTCTAGCTGAAATGCATTATAAAATATCCTCAGGAGCTCATGGAGAATAGTATGTTACTCCATTAAAACAAATACTCTTATAATTATTTTGCAAGTTTAAATGTGATTTTGATCATTTCCTGTTGCTGTACTTTACTGTTGCTGCAGGGAGTGTTTATTTATCATTTGTCTTCAACTATTATGTATAAAATCTAATTATAAATGCAGTGTTTTTAATGTATATGGTATTTTACAGAATATCTGATCAGTTCTATTTCTAAAAATTGCCTGAGAGCCATTAAAAACTGTTCTTAGCTTATTAGAGAAGGTATAAATGGAATTCATTTATACAGGCAGGATTTCGAAGAGGCAGAAGAACTAGAGATCAAATTGCCAACATATGCTGGATCGTGGAGAAAGCTAGGGAGTTCCAGAAAAACATCTACTTCTGCTTCATTGACTATGCTAAAGCCTTTGATTGTGTGGATCACAACAAATTGTGGCAAGTTCTTAAAGAGATGGGAATACCAGACCATCTTATTTGTCTCTTGAGAAACCTATATGCGGGTCAAGAAGCAACAGTGAGAACTGAACATGGAACCACTGATTGGTTCAAAATTGGAAAAGGAGTCCGGCAAGGCTGTATACTGTCACCCTGCCTATTTAACTTATATGCAGAGCACATCATGAGAAAGGCAGGGCTAGATGAAACAAAAGTTGGAATTGAGATTGCCGGGAGAAATATCAACAACCTAAGATATGCAGATGATACCACTCTAATGGCAGAAAGTGAAGAGGAACTAAAGAGCCTCTTGATGCGGGTGAAGAAGGAGAGTGCAAAAGTTAGCTTGAAACTCAACGTTAAGAAAACCAAAATCATGGCATCCGGCCCTCTCAATTCCTGGCAAATAGATGGGGAAGAAAGGGAGGTAGTGACAGATTTTATTTTTCTGGGCTCCAAGATCACCTCAGGTCGGGACTGCAGCCAAGAAATTAAAAGACGCTCCTGGGGAGGAAAGCTATGGCAAATCTAGACAGCATACTAAAAAGCAGAGACATCACCCTGCCAACAAAAGTGCGTATAGTCCAGGCCATGGTTTTCCCAGTTGCAATGTATGGCTGTGAAAGTTGGACCATAAGAAAGGCTGAACGCCAAAGAATTGAGGCCTTTGAACTATGGTGCTGGAGAAGACTCCTGCGAGTCCCTTGGACTGCAAGGCGTTCAAACCGGTCAGTCCTAGAAGAGATCAACCCCGACTGCTCTTTAGAAGGCCAGATCCTGAAGTTGAAACTCAAATACTTGGCCACCTAATGAGAAGGAAGGACTCACTGGAGAAGGGCCTAATGCTGGGAAAGATTGAGGGCAATAGAAGAAGAGGACGACAGAGAATGAGATGGCTGGATGGAGTCACTGAAGCAGTAGGTGTGAACTTAAATGGACTCCAGAAAATGGTAGAGGACAGGAAGATCTGGAGGAACGTTGTCCATGGGGTCGCGATGGGTCGGACACAACTTCGCAATTAACAACAACAACATAAATGGAATTCAATAAATAAAAGATGCTATATGGGACATACAATTTAAAATTGTAATGGCTATTGGGAGAATGAAGGTTATAGGGATGATAGAAAGATGAGAATATGTATAAATTAATTTACTATGAATTAAAACAGATTTGAAAGTGTTGAAATGTAAAACACAAATATGAATGGAGCTGTTCCAGATAATAGAAATAAACAATGCTCTTGCACAAACTATCTGGTATATGATTATCACACTACTTAAAAAAGATTGCATTAAATCTTGGTTTGAGTAATCATGATTTGTTTCTATAGAAAAAAAATTACAAATTCTATTTGTAATTAGAACTAGAGCCTGACAGTGCTAACTTTGGAGCATGAAAAACTCATGCTGAGGCATTTGAACCTTCAAAAAGTACAAATAATCCATTCCAATCTATCGTAATGTAGTAGTTAATTCAAGTGTTTTATACTGCTATGAATATCTCTAAAATAAGGGGTCTGATCCACATCATGGTATGGCACAAGACTGGTGTTTTAGATATGCTTTATACAGCTCTCTGCTTATGTTGGAAACAAAATAATAGCCTTCCTATGTTTCTAGAAAATAATTGCTTTACTTTAACAGTTGAATGACAGACATTCTGTTATATGGAGTTGGCAGAATTTAAAGATCTGTTGGTTTTTATATTAAATCTTGGAAAGAAAAAACATAGATAATTCTTTTCCTTCCTTTTAGGAACTTAGTCACCAACAAGATTCTGACTAGCTGATTTTCATTAAATTTGTCATAGAGTGTTATAGTTTAAAGGGAAAATTCTAGAGGGGTTTTGTTGCTTCTAGACTATTATTGATCATGGAGGTTCATAGCCTAACTCTTGATACATTTTATCCATCGGCCATATTTTTCATGCACCTCTACATTCAGATGAACTGTATGTTCTTCATTTGACATTAGCATGTGGATAATATAAATCTAAATAAGAAATAAAATAAAGGTTTTCATAACTATGGCTATGTATGTATTAATTTGGGATGGGAGTGGGGTGGAACGTGTATATTTCTAATAGTTCTACTTCAAAGTAAATATCAAAGGTCAGTTGAAGCTGTAAAAGATGAGAAAAGTGGAAAGAAATGGTATCTTTATAAAATGGGATTAAAGTCAATCAGTTCTATATATTTAGTGGTAGACATACAAAGTGACTCTAACAACTCTAGTTTTCTGAAAATGTGGCTGTGGAGGCTATTTTTAAGTAAGTCCTGATTTGAAAAGTATCTGTCTTAGAGCCAGAGTATGTTATGGGTAACCCCATTGAAATAGACAGTAAATTGTAACATTACAAATCAGCAACTTCTGTTCAAGAGAAACCTGCTGAATTTGCTAATAGTATAAAATTCAATTGTGATTTTAATTACAGGAGTACCAGAAGATGTAGTTGCAACAGTGGATCGTTTGGATTGAAGATAATGAATAAAATTAATCAGGAACTGCTGTGCTTATCATCTTGTTTTGTGAGAGATTTCCTGTAGCCTTTGATAAGTCAGCAGAAAGGGACTACTAATCATCATGAAGTTGAAGCAGCGTGTGGTACTTCTGGCAATTCTGCTCGTCATCTTTATTTTCACAAAGGTTTTCCTCATAGACAACTTGGACACATCAGCAGCCAATCGTGAGGACCAGCGCGCCTTCCATCGCATGATGACGAGCCTACGGATCGAATTAGACCCACGACTTGATCACACACTGCAATCTCCTTGGGAGATTGCAGCCCAGTGGGTGGTGCCACGTGAAGTGTACCCGGAGGAAACACCAGAACTGGGTGCAGTGATGCATGCTATGGCTACCAAGAAAATCATCAAAGCAGATGTGGGCTATAAGGGTACCCAGTTGAAAGCACTGCTTGTGCTGGAAGGTGGACAGAAAGTAGTCTTCAAACCTAAGAGGTAAAATGCTTCTTCAGTGACAGATAATATCATATGTACTCTTTTTCTTATCTGCTTAATGGCTGATAACAGCTTAATGGCTGAATTTGAACAAAGTTGTAGTTTGTGCATAAGTCATAAAGTTTGCACTCATACTTTGCATCATGTCATAAAACAAGAATTGCAGATACACACAATGCAGTAACAAATTAAAGCATGCCTTAGCACGTAATTTGCATTAAGTTTCCCAAACAGGAGTGCCTGATCATTGTTCCCTATTAGAAGAAGTATGCAGCTAAGATCAAGACAATGAGTAGATGTTTGCTGAAAGACCCTAACATTGCTTCTAAAGTAAGAAACAGGCCTGTGTCTTTGGGTGGAAGTGTTTGTGAGATATTTCCTTTTATATGGGGCAATACAACTGATTGCTAGAAGACTTGGCACTGAGAAAAGTTCTTCAAAGTTATTTTCTCATTACTATCCTGAGATGAAGAAGAGTGGTTGTTTACTGGAGATTCTTCTTTAATCTGAAATAAAATCTATTAGTCATTTAATCACTTATTTTTTCATAATTTTTAGATATCCCAGAGACTATGTAATAGAAGGAGAGCCATATGCTGGCTATGACAGACATAATGCAGAGGTGGCAGCCTTCCATCTAGACAGGTAAAATTTTGATACTTGGATACAATATACATTGTTTAATCATTCAGTTTATACTTCACCTTTCTATAAAATCTGATAAAATCAGTGAATATAAATTATAAACCAATTTAAAGTTAAAAAGAAAAGGTGATTCCTCTGCTGGAATAGGGGGTAGAATGTAATGTCAAGAGAGTGAATTCCATGGGAGAAGGCCCACTCCTTTGAGTTCAGGGCCATCTCAGTAGTGAGAGCATCTTTAGTGGGACAGTGTTCAGCAAGTTTATTTCAGGATAATCCCTTAGGAGTCAGTGCCTAAATTCTTAACTTGTGCTCCACAAAAGTAATCTCTGTAGATCTTTTAGTACAAGTTCTCAGTAAAGGGCACAGATTAGCAGTCTGACATATTCTTCACCAATGAATTTAAATTTAAACTTAAATCAAGTGCAATCTTTATTCTGGTCAGTGTTGGGAAAATCTCTGGTGCTTCAGTTCAAGAACTATTGGTCCTTCAATGTTGTTGCAAGACATTTTCCATATATTTAAGAAGCGGGTGAGTTGCCACCACTTTGATGATTTACAACAATTAATAAACATTCAGCCTAAACACAATCTAAGCCTAAAAAGTTGTACTTCTGGCAGATCTTTTTTCAAGGGCTTTCCTTTTTTATGAGCCAAGTATACCCAGAGGTCTGGCACATGAATAAGATCATGGTCCAAATATGCAAAAAGTTTGTATTAACTTCAATTTCTAATTCAGTAAATTTATAGAATCCAAAAGAGAGAAATAAAAATTATCAGTTGCAGTTCAAAATAAAATAAAACATAGATATTAATAACTAAGAAGTTATATTTAAAATTACTTTTAAGAACTCAGAAACCTTTGAGCGATTCCTACAGATTTCATAGCTAGATCCAGCCTATACTGTCTATTGTGTTGCATGAATTCATATCTTGTTTCATTTTATTCTTTCTTGTTCAAACAGAATCTTAGGTTTCCGACGGGCACCACTTGTGATTGGTAGGTTTGTGAACCTCCGGACAGAGATCAAACCTGTTGCCACAGAACAGTTGCTTAGTACTTTCATGACTTTAGGTAGGTCAAAAATACAAATAAATTCTGCATGTTTGGCCTCTTATAACATTCCTGGATCCTTGGGGAAAATACAATTTGAAGAATGCTTGCTAGAGATCATGCTCTTAACTCAACAGCTCTCTCTGTCATATATACAAATTATCTTCTTTTTCCAGTATTAATACAGATCTGTACCCATATTAGAGCTAGTAATGATATACAGTTCAAACATTTAGATCAGGGGTTCTCAACCTTGGCAACTTTAAGACTTGTGGACTTCAACTCCCAGAATTTCTCAGCCAGCAAAGCTGGCTGAGGAATTCTGGGAATTGAAGTCCACAAGTCTTAAAGTTGCCAAGGTTGAGAACCACTGATTTAGATTATAAATTCTAGTTTGAGACTAACATCAGTTTTGGCAGAACACTCTTAGCCCTAGCAAGGACAATGTGATAATATGTGTCTAATCTCAAACCTGGAAAATCAGAAGTAAGTCGGCATACGGATTACTTTGATTCCTGAATAAAACTTCCATTGAGGTCTGGTATTTGACATGTTAATGATTTCTCTGATATTTGTAGCAGAGTATATTGTACAAGTAGTCCTTGACTTATGCCCATTTGTTTAGCAGCTGAAAAAGTGACATACAGCCAAGTGCAATGGTCCTTGCACATAGGAGCATTGTAGGGTTCTTCTCGTGGTCATGTGATGCCTCACTTAAATAAGTCAGGTGCTTGGAAACTGGCTCACATTTTGGCGTTTGCAGCATGCCGGGGTCAAGTGACTGCCGTTTGTGATCTTCCCACCCAGCCAGCTTCCAACAAGCAAAGTTCATGGGGAAACTGGCAGGGGAAGTCGCAGGTTGTAGTCATGTCTCGCTTAATAACCACAGTGATTTGTTTAATGACTACAGCAAAGTAGGTTATAAAATAGTGTGCAGTCACATGATGCCTCATTTAATGACAATTTTTCCAGTCTCTTGTCATAAATTGAAGACTACTTGCGATTTGCCTTTACTCAATTATTTCAACAGTAAGAGAAGACTTTGTTTAAATTTTGAGATTGCTGGTTTTGAATATGAAAATAGGCCATTTTGGGGAATCTGGCCAAAGGCCACAGCAGATAATTTCTCTGAAATATGTATATTTCCGTTAAATATCTGCTGTTGAATTTGCCCAGGTTTTTATTTATCAGTATAGTAAGGTGTTTACTTGTTTACTTGAAGTCTGTTTCCAAACTAGTGGAAGAACTGGGAGGTGGGGACTGTGCAAGATAAAATTACTTTACAATCCAACTCTGTTTAAAAATAAACAACCCCCTAAATTGACTAAGCCTCACTCTTAGAGAAGTGAGCTGCAGCAGCAACAGATAATGACCATTAAATCAACCTTTTTAGAACTGATGGTTTCTTTCCCAGAAAGCTTCTTAACTAGTCCAAGTTCTTAGAAATTAGAAGTGCTAAATAATTAGTATCACGGTTTAATTTAGGTCTAAGTTAGCTGCTTTTTTCTAATTTTTGTTTGCTTTCCAGGTAATAATACTTGTTTCTATGGGAAGTGCTACTACTGCCGGGAAACAGAACCAGCCTGTGCTGAAGGAGATTCCATGGAAGGATCACTCACTCTTTGGCTGCCAGATGCATGGCCTCTTCAGAAACATCGGCATCCATGGGGCAGGACGTACCGGGAGGGCAAGTTAGCCAGGTAAGGAGTTCACAGCAGTGACCTTGCTGTTTTAGTTGGTCAGTCCAGAAAATGGACTACAATTGTAGAGGCATAAGGAGGTGTCGACCTTAAGTTGCTGAACTGATCATATATGTTGTACCTGATTGTTAAAAATCAGTTCCTTTTCTGGGAAATAACGAAGTTACACTGAGAAGCTACCGTGCTTCCTCGAAAATAAGACTTATCCCGAAAATAAGCTCTAGCTTGATTTTTACGTGTGTACCTAATATAAGCCCTACCCCCCCCCCAAATTAAGCCTTAGTTAAGACCCCACTCACTCCGTGCCAATGTCTGGTTGTAAAGGTGAGGCAAGGTACATGCATAAAAAGCTGGGGTGGGGGTGGAACTGCCTCACGTGCCCCGCATCCACTTACCGCAGGGTCCCCACGCCTCGATACCTGTCTTGCCTCACTTCGTGGCGGCAGCAACAGCAGCCCCATCCAGCAGGAGCCTGCATGGCCACTGGCCCATTTCTTCTGGTTGCTGGCGGGTGCTCACGGCAGCAGAAGTCAGGCAGAGGCGCGACAGGTGTCAGGGCATGGGAGGTCTGGCTGTGACGGTCCTCAGATAAGTGGGTAAGACATTCCCCGAAAATAAGACCTAGTGGTCTTTGGAGACAAAATAATATAAAACTGGCCTTATTTTTGAGGACACATGGTAGGAGGCAAAAGATTTCAAAGATGAATGAGAAATGAAGATCCCCCCCTTTTTTTGTTCTTTTTTTTATTAATCTTTGACTTTTCTAAAGCAAAATCATTTTTTTACATTTATTGGGATGGCATTGTATAAGACTGTCTGGGTATATAGCATAGGACCTGGATTTTGAGATGTATTTTACCTGCTTCAAAATCCCTAAATCCATTTTCAAAAAGAGTTTTTAACAATAGTAGTTCTACTTTCTGCCAGTAGACTTAGCTCCCTTTATAAAAGTACAACATACTATTCTGTGTTAGGAAAGGATGAATCAGTTTGTTTCAAGTTTGTGTCAGTTTCCTTCTGCATTAGTCCATGAGTTAAAGTGTGAAATGCAGTAGTTAATGAAATTCTAATCTGTGTATTGCCTGGATCAGTTCACGTCTGCTTATATCAAAAACCAGTCTTCCAATTTTATCATTCTTTCTTATTTTGTATCATTTTCCTGAATATCCATGTTGCCAATCATCATTTATGATTGAATTAAGAGGCCAGATTAAATGAAGAAACCTTTATGTTAAAAGAGAAAATGAAGTAGCAGAGACAATCTTGCCATCTTTTGCTATGGTCTCTTACCAAGCAGATTTTGAGATAATTTTATTTTAAATTTAACAGCAGTTCTTTTTTCCCAATTATGCAATCTTCTCTTTCAACCCTTTGAAGTTACATAATTGTACTATAAATCCTAACAGATCAACAGGGCTTGGTTGAGTTTCTGTCTCTGCTTTCAGATGGGAATATGATGAGAGTTACTGTGATGCTGTAAAGAAGACCTCCCCTTATGATTCAGGTCCACGGCTTCTTGACATCATTGATACAGCCATCTTTGACTATCTGATTGGGAATGCTGACCGACATCATTATGAAAGTTTTCAGGATGATGAAGGGGCCAGCATGCTTATTCTACTTGACAATGCCAAAAGGTAGGATAAGTATTAATCTTACATGCAAATTCCTTCAGTAAAATAATTGCCACCAGATTACAGTTGGTTTATCATAATTACTACAGTGTTAAGGTTCTCTAAAAGTTTGACCTGGTTTGAAAGCTAACTGAAATATCAGGAATTCCTTACCCATTTCAAATTGTATTTATGGGAAAGAATGGCTTTGGAGTCCTTGATGCTCTCTGAGCTTGGTTGTTCGCTTGAAGGCATATCATTACACAATTAGATAACAGCACCAGAGTAAATGTGGGGCTTGCTCCTGGTTTATATGCTGTAGCTTGCTCTGCCAGTTTTGGTTTTCTCTTTGGTAGTTCCTTAATTGGGGTATTATTTTCTGCTTGATTGTTTGCCTGGTATTAATCCTTGCTTATCTGGGTATTGGCAGTTTTGACAAGGATGTGTTCTGGTCTTTTTTATTCTTAGCTTTTTTTATTGTCTCTTGAATGGTGTGTAAATATGGTTTATTTCTTTTGTTTTGTCTGAATGCCAATCCTCCAGGAATTCCTTAGTGTTTTGGGCTTCAGATTGATCTAGGAAGCTTACAATTTCTCAGTTGAAACTTTGTCTCTCTGTTGTGAGATTGAACAGTTTTCCTCATGTCTTCTGACTTGGTGTCCATGGATGCACACTGCTAATTTTCTTCCACTTCTGACACTTTATCATTTGATAAAGTTGCATGGGTATCCATTTTGCTGATAGATGTTGTACAGACTTTTCCAGAGGGAATGATTTTTTTTTTCATTTTGTATTTGTTTTTCAGTTTTGGAAATCCTTCCCTGGATGAGAGAAGCATTCTTGCGCCTCTTTATCAGTGCTGCATGTGAGTAAAGAATAAAAAGTTATTGACTTATTTGAATATTATCTTAAAAGCAATATTGGTATTATTTAATATACTTTTGAGTTCTTATATTTGATGGTTAGTTGCCTAGGACTAATCATCAAACATAAGAACTCAAAAGTACACTAAACGTGTTTTTACGATCTAAATGAGAGCCTACATGTTAAGGTGCCGTTCTCTAAACTTTTGGAACAACTAGCTGTTTAAAGAAAGGAGAGGGTTAGCATTAAAAATTAATGCTGGAGAAAGATATTCCTTATAACTTTGCAGCTTTTTTCTTGAGGGAGTGTCTACATTTTCAGGTATAGGATTTTGCTAGCTTGTAGCTACCTTTCACATAATGCATGTAACAATCACTAAGTTCTGGGGTCCACAAAAAGAAACATTATTTCAAAGATAGAGGAACAACCTCTGAAGATGACAGAGGTTTCCTTTGTGGAAAAAATAAAAATTATGTTAATTGTGTCATACATCCACAGCATCATTCTTTATATTCATAATTTTGCAACAGCTTTACCAAATACTAGGCTTATCATCCATACCCAGGGCAGCTAATTGGTTTTGTATGCAACTTAGCACTTTGATTATCATCTATTCCCACTTCCCTGGGAGTAATGTGAGGATGTTACTTTTGATTAAATATAGGCTTATGAATTTTAATTTAAAAACTGTTTCAGCAATGTCACTGTAGTTCATAGCTCTGAATAAGTAAATCCTGTGACAAGTTTTTTTGGGGAGACTTTTTTAATTGTAATATTGTAAATTACGATGTACTGTGTTTATTTCAATGTAGATTTCAATGAAGTAATGTTTATATAATATGATTAAGAAATAACATTCTATTAATTAAAAAGCTTAAAGTATTGAAAAAACTTTGGGAAGACTTCTGAAGGTTTGAACTTTCGGTATAAACTCAGGGTTGTCACACTCCAGATTTTTCTTTTGCAGTATCAGAGTCTCCACATGGAACAGGTTGAACTATTTGAAGAATGGAGTCCTGAAGTCTGCCTTAAAAACTGCTATGGTTCATGACCCTATTGCACCTGTGTTGTCTGCCCCACATATGGACGCCCTGGACCAACGACTGCTGAACATCTTGGCTACAATAAAGCAATGTACAGATCAATTTGGGCCAGACATTGTATTGGTGGAAGATAGAATGACACTTTCCCATTTGTAGCTTTAACAGAAACTGATAGGGTTTATTTTTTAAAGTAATAATAGAAAACAGCACAACTGGTTCTGCGTGGCTATGGGCAGGATAAACTGGAATTAAATAACAGAATTTCTGCATCAGAAGAAGAAACACTTGTAGTTTGAAAGCTCTGTTGAAGACAAGAAAGTTCCCCTCGGGTAGCCCTGTATCTTCTTTTTGTTTTTGGATTCCATTGCTGGCAGTGGATGTTGCACTGAGAGCCCTCCTGGGATTCCCTGTGAAGAGATGGATATTGAGACACTAATACGGGCTTGTTCCAGAAAAGATCTTATTCTCCTAATTGACTCCAAGTATAATCTTAGTTTTTTAGTCTAATTCAGGGTTTTAAAGAATAGGCTATCTAGGCATCCATACTGGCCATGTTAAAAAAAAGAAAAGTGATGGAGGGGTAGGGCAAATTTGATATTGAAAAGATTTACTTTCTCTCCTGATAGATATACATCGATGCATCTTTTGCAGAAATTTTCTAAAGGACTTCGTAAGGGAATGTATAATTGTGTTTGGTGTTCTCTTAAATCCAAAACTGCTGAAGGAGAAAGACTGTTCTAGATTACTTTTGAAATCTGTTGTCCATATACAAGGCTGAAATTACTCAGGCCTGCACAATGCTGCAAAGTCCTAACCAGAGATTTTTGTGCAAATCATTATGTAAGGGTTCTTGCTGTCTTGAACCTAATATTTCTCCTAAAAAGTGGGGCTTGAGCCAGTACTTTATGTCCTGTCAGTGCTGTAGATTTCAAAAAACAAACAGGATTTGTTGCTAACTTCTGGTCTAAACTGAAAATCTAAGAAGACATGATGAGTGCCTGCGGAAGGGAAAAATGTTTTATCAGGCATTCAGGATAGTCTCATTTCCAAGGTTTGAGCTGAACTAAAGATGTTTTTAGATGCATTTGTTTTCTTTTTTTAATCCAAGCTGTGATTCCATGGCTTTGTGACCATTATCAGGAATTGTATTTGTGTTTCTAGTGTCAGAAAATGTATGTATCTTGGTTTTAATTCATGCACCTGATAGTCCTGCCAAAGATATTGGAGGGAAATGTGTGGAAAACAATTCTGTATGTTAACTCCAAGGTTTAATTCCCTGAACTATTATTCACCAACTGTATTGAAAACCTCAAAGATTTTCTATGATAGATAATGTTTCCGATAGCTGTATCCTGGATGTCAGTTAACAGAAATTTAAATACAGAGACCAGATGTTTATCAGTTAGTTCTAATAATTTTTAAAATTAATTTGGACATGCTTCCTCTTTTGGAAACAGACCCCAACGCCCATAGATGCAAAAAGGATGCGTCTGCATCTGTTTCAGTAACTTTCCTTACCCTACAGCATTTTTAAAGCTCACGTTTCAGCCTATGCCAGTAATAATCTTAAAATGGCTGCCTAAACTATTGGTTGGCTTAATGCCAAATCCTATTTATAATGTTATGCCTCCTTTAACAAAAAGAACTTCCAAAATAAGTTGATTTTTGTCAGGTTGGTTCAGCTAAATGTCTCAAATTAGAGCAACTTGATAATAGTTAATAATTGCCATTATGAGGGTCACCAGCTTTAGACTTTTTATCAAATACTAGCCAATCATATCAGCGGCTAAGATGAGTTTTTTGTAGATGCATGGTAAGTGTGCAATCGCATTGAATCTGTACCTGGCAGATGCTGTTGAGGAAGAAAACATCTTGCTGGTTAATTGAGACTTTCCGAATAACTTCATGTTTCCTTTATATGCTATTTTAAGATTAAGAAACTGGAAGAGACATCCTGTGCTTGAACAGACAAGTAGTCCATTGCATTGGAAGAACTGGAACTGTTGTTAAAAAAGAAAAGAAAATAATTTATTAAGAAGTAACTTATTCATGTGGCAGCTGAAACAAAATGTTCACCTTGAAGCTGCTAAAGACTTGTCTTTTGGAGTGGTTATGAGTAGAAGCTGTTGGGAAAAGAAAACAAGTTTCAGTTTTGCATTTCCCAAGGATCAGGCTATGCATAGGCAAGTATTATGTGAATAAAGATTTTAATAACATGAACTTACTATTCTCTGAAAGAACATTTTTAATAAGAGATAACTTCTGACATAATTATTAATCACATTTCTAATGGGAGTTTACGTCCACAATATCATCTGATAAGGTTTGTGAAGAACTAAACTTGTATTTTAACCAAATGTTTTAGGCATTGTTTGAGACAAGTTAACAAAGCTGGAGCTGCACAGAATCTCCCAACCACATGGAGTTACTATATTATTCATCAACGCTACCTCATCCTTCTGTTGGTCCTATCTAGAGGGCATAACTTTGGCCAGGGATAGCCTAGAGGACATTCTAGCTAGAGCTTCAAAAAACCTGGGCCTTTGCAGGGCCTCTTTAAGATTCTCTAAGCCAGTGGTTCTCAACCTTCCTAATGCCGTGACCCTTTAAAACAGTTCCTCATGTTGTGGTGACCCCCAACCCTAAGGGCTCTCCAAACGTGCACCGACACTGCCCACTCAGCCGCCGTGCCCGGGACTCAGCGCGCCTCACCTGTCCTCGCCTCACTTCCGAAGGTCGCTGGCCTGCCCGGCTCCAGCTGGCCAGGGAGGTGGGGCAGGAAGGCCGCTCCGCCCAGCCTGGTTGGAGAAGCGCCCAGGCGGGGAGAGGGGGGGGAAGAGAGAGGGAAAGAGAGAGAGAGCCAAGAGGGCGACAGTGCCGGCAGAGCTTAGTTCACCCTCCTCTGCGGAAAGGGCCGCGAAGCAGCGCAGCCTCCCTTAGGAGATGCTCGATGGAAATGAATCTGGCGCTGCAACGGCCTCCAGCTCGAAGCTGTGCGGAGACGGATAGAGGAGCAGTGTCTCGGTTCCTAAGACCATCGGAAATATGTGTTTTCCAATGGTCTTAGGTGAACCCTGTGAAAGGGTCGTTCGACCCCCAAAGGGGTCGCAACCCATAGGTTGAGAACCGCTGCTCTAAACAATTCAACATAGATTGTGCAAAAAGAATTACATCATTTTGTCCCAGCTTGCATAACACAATTTCACTCTCCTTTCTCTTCATCTGGCCTCATTAATTTTGTTTTTTCCAAGTTGTTAAAAAAAAAGTCCTCTGAATTAGGAATAATGTCTATATCTCTTTCTGGCAAACATATTCTTAGCCACAGTTTTTCCCCTATTTTCTAAGTTACTTTGATTACAGCTACTTTTAAAGTGCTTAAGAGAGGACACACATTTACACAAGCACCACTAGGATAAAACAACTAAAATTGTAGACTTAGGAAGGTAGATTCACAAAAAAATGGGTGAAATTGGCAAAATGAGTTTAATTCACAACTGTCTTTTGAAAACACTACCATTTATCTGTGTAGATGAAGGCAAAGTGCAGATTATTCATTAGTTATAAAATTTATATGCCACCCATCTAATCTCAACTTTTCTTGAAAGTGTTAAGGTCACCATAGACAGTAACCCCTCTTACAGTTTCTACAATATGTTTTGAATTAAACATCTTGCAGAAAGTAGCCATCGCAAGAGTCCTTAAATCTCAGCCATCTGAAGAGGTGGCAGTGACAATTCCTAATCACATAAGCGGATCCATTTATGATGACTATTTACAATGAACAGCACTTAGCTTTCTTGGGTTAGAATTGCATAGAGTGCATGATTAATATACTCTGACTTCATGTCAGTAGTACATAAAGTCACACATATTGCTTCAGTTTCTGAAAGGAATGCTGTTATTGGTGAATAATAAGACACTGGGATTTAAACTTGAAATCAATGAATGCGCTCTAGTCCATGACATGAATGGCCTTTATGTCCTCTGGCCTCATTTGTCAGCAAAGGGTATGTAACTGCAACACATACTATCAGCCTGTAAGAAAGAGAACAGAAGCACATCAGTTCCATCAATTCTACGTGCTCTTGTTCTTTCTAGTGTTCTCTCAGAACAATTTCCAAACCAATAGCTTCTTATAAGAATTCTTTACTTTAAGAACTGTAGCCTTTACCTTTGCCAGAAATTTTAGATTGCAAACCAGGGAGGAGAGTTTTTGATTCTTTTATTGCTCTCTAAACTACTTTGGCAGATTTTCAGTATCATCCAACATAAAAGTAAGGACTCACATTCCTGTTCATTTCATGCTACTTGGAAGAGACTTCCTGTTAATGAACAATTTACTAATAGGTGATTAAACAGTAGATTTCAGTAGAAACTGAATTATCTGCAGCAGCTTGGATGTAGTAAATCTGGCTGAAACTATAATTGTGGATATTACAAGATAAAATGTCAACAAGTTTGAAGTTCAACAGAATTCTACGACCTTACCTAGTGCCTGAACCTAAAAGATTTTTTTTTTAAAAAAATTAAGCTGATTAATTGATGATTCTCCATATTTGTTCTATATTCTGACCCTTCAGAGTATTTTAGTATGCAATTTTTCATCAGACACAGACAGCTTACCTTCAGCTTGGTGGAATATTCTATCTTTTAAAAATAGTTTTCTTTGAAGGCTAAGGGCCACATGGATTGGTGGCAGAGTTGTGTCAATAGAATTTTTGCTAATCTAAACTAAATCAAATATTGCATTATTTGAACTCAAATAATCACGACCCAGCTGTACAACCTTTAGTCAACTGATACCTCTTAGTTCTGAATGGATGCTCAGGAAGATGGGTACCCGGGACAGAACTGAGACTTCACTGATTCTATGTCATTGCCCATTGTTCTCACTTCCTGAGGTAGCTGGGTTAGTTTTGATGTTGGTATAGGAGTCGTCTGGATTTCAGAATTTCATAAATCTGGAGTGTATGAAATAGCTCAGAGTTTGTGGCAAATATAGATATGTTCCATTCAGTACCTAGCAATCAACATCCTGTTGCATCACCTTCTTTAATAAGATATTGTTTCCTCAACCATGTTTGCATCCTACCTTCTACTTTGGTTCTGCTTCACTTATTTCTTTTTAAAACAATTCTCAAAGGAAATATGCCAGACAGGGAGCTGTACAGTTCAGAAGAATTATTTTCCTTTCACCTACCACAAATGAGTTGCCCCTTGTCTTCATTCACTCCTGAAGATGAAACCAGAAGATGAAAGTCATTCCTGAATTTCAGGATGCTGATCTCATTACGCAACTCCTGCTACTAATTCAGTAGTCTGCCTCTGTTAAGTAGGGAGGGCTTTTTGTCAGTAAGAGTGTTTCTTTGTTTTATATATGAACTGGGCCCATCTGCCTTTGAAGATGCTGCTTTTCAAGGATCATCAATAAATAGGCCCTCTGGGCACCTGACAGCAGTATAAGGGGAAGAATAGGTGATATAATGGCCTAAATTGGGGATATTTTTTCTAAAAGACAGGTCAAGAGTCTGTGGGACAGATGGAGTTTTTGCACAGCTAGCTATAGATGCCTTGAATTCCAAATGAGAGTTGCAATAACAACTATGGGGTTTCACTTTTTATTTTTTATAGTAATTTTATTAAAAAATTACTACAACAAAAAACTAATGCAAACTAAACTTTCTTTGTCCCTTCTCACAAGATCCTACAAAGCTTTAACAAATCTCTTGTAAATCCAATATAGGAAGATTATCCAGGTCACTGTCTTAGTTTGGTATTTATGTATCTGTTTCAATTATTAAGACATTAGTCAGTTTCTTTCATATATCCAGTAATATTTTTTTTCAATGTCATTCTTGTAGTCTGTAATTTTTAAATCTACTTTTAGATCAGTTTTAATCTTGTCTGGTAAAACTTGTTATTCCAGAACACTTTTTAAAACACTGTCTATCAGTAGAAACATACTCTTAAAATTAAATTCTGGGTCCATTGTTCAAAAATATTGTTCAGTATGCTGAACATTAAAATATTTTACTTCATTCTATATTAATCAAATTTAAATGCTGTTCTTTCCTTGTAATCTTTAATTTCTTCTAGTTCCCTGTGGTGTCCAACTTTCAAAGGCCCATCCTATCATGTTTTTTTTTTGTTAGAATGCAAAACAAAAATATTTTCCCACAAGCATACTATAATTTCAAAATCCTATTTCAAATTTATCTGGAATCTTTGTAATGATGCTACAACCGTCATATATGCATGACGATTGCCAAGTACCCAAATCAAGACCACATGATTGTGGAGAGGCTGTGACAGTTGTAAGTTGAGGACTAGTCAAAAGTCACTTTTTTCAGTACTATTGAAACTTCAGTCACTAAACAAATAGTCATGTTGAGGCCTACCTATGTATTCCCAAAAAATTAAACTTGTGTTTAAAACTTCTTTTGTCAAGCAAGGGTTGGGGTACCCAATTCTGTAAAATTTGTCAATCTAAAGGTTTCTAACAGCTGAAAACAACTAACTAATTTCTGAAAAGGAAGCACGCGAACCCAGTATCTTTAAAGATCCTACCATGGATTGAGCAAGCTAGCTATTCCTGCTTCTCCCAAGCTCTATAAACTCACTGGAGACCACCTCCTGGTCTCCTCATGAGGAGCAACTGAATGGCGTACTTGTGTGCAATCTCGGATCCTTTCCTTATCCAGAGAGAGAATGCAAAGCCCTGGTCTACTTGATGTCTCTTCATTCTGCTACAATTGTCAATTCACTATTTCTTCCCTGGAAGTCCACTTTAATAATAAGGAATAATTTTGAAAATTTATCTCCTTTTTTTGTTCTTATTATTGAAGGAGGGGGAACTTTCTCACTTTCAGAAATGTTTATTTTTTTTTTAGTGTATGTCATAATGCAAAGCATGATTTTTAACTCTATACCTCAGATCCATGGTAGTAATAGACATCAGAGAAATAATGTTCAGCATTTTTGTAAGAGACAATAGCATGAGTTTGGATGCATCTGATGCTGATGTGTAACAAGCTACAGTAAAGAATTTTGTGCAATGTCTCCCCAAAATAAGATTTTCAACCACTGATGTCTATTAAAGACATTATAGACAAAGCTGTGCCTTTCTTTGAACATATTAACTTTTCTTATTAAAAAGTATTGATAATGAAACATTTAAGATATTTGCATACTATTTGCCACTATTGCACTGAAAAAAGTGATTTATGACTAGATCTCACACTTACAACAGTTGCAGCATCCCCATAATCGTGATCAAAATTTGGGTGTTTGGCAAACAGGCAAGTTTTTATGAAGGGGTCATGTGATCACCATATGCAAACTTCCCAACCAGTTTTCAATAATCGAAGTCAATGGGGGAAACCAGATTTGCTTAATGACTGTGATTCACTTAACAGCTGCAGTGATTTGTTTAATAATTGTGGCAAAAATATATATATAAAATTGGACACAAAATTTAACAACTGCCCTGCAATGGAAATTCTGGTCCCAATTTGGTCATAGGTTGAGGACTAAATGTAGTTTGAATTCTTTCTAAATCTTTTTTACACTTGATTGTGAATCTGTATAACTATTTTCCCACTATAGGAAAATAGTGGGAAAATTGCCTCGAAATTAACCATTTCCATGGCAATTCTGCAATCTCTAGTGTGAAAATATTTTATTACTGCTAAAATCTTAACTAGAGAGTCAGTGTACTGATTAAAGCCAGTGGTCTAGACTAGACTCTAGAAACTAGCAGATCATGGATTCTAATCTTGCTTTAGGCATGAAAACCAGCTGGGTGACAGGGCAAGTCACTTCTCATCAGCTCTAGGAAGATGACAAACTACTTCTGAAAAAAATTGTCAAGAAAACTGCCTGGACCTGTCCCAGTTGCATGAATGAAGACTGCCTTGAAGGCACAAAATAATAATGATAAAAATCTAAACAGATTACAAGCCTATTTAGATTTTAATGAGGTACTTTCAAATAATGAATGCATCTATTTGAGCTTTCACACTGATAAAATCGTAAAATTGCCATGAACTTATCTGGCTGTGTGACATTAGCCATCCATCATTACACTTATAGGAATGGAATATGCTATTTCAGTAACCTAGTTTTTTTAAAAGAAATCTCTTAAAATTACATCTCTTAAAAAGAAGAGGATTTTAACTGCTGAATATAGTTGTAAATGATTAATACTACTTGTTTTCTTCCTGTTTGTTTTCCTTGCTATTTAATTATGGAGATTTTCAATCATCCAGGTCATTGTGTGTGTGTGTGTGTGTGTGTGTGTGTGTTTATTTATTCCTATTCTGGAATGTGACCGTAGAAAAAATGATTAATTATGTTTCTACTTTTTATTATACGCTGCTGAGATACTTAAAATCAGAACAAAAATCAGGTACAAGCACTTGTTCTTGAGCTGCAGCTATCTCTCATCAAATAAAAGACTTAGAAATTGGTTAATTTAACACAGAAATCAAGTTAAATAATTGAGCATACTGTGTATACTTTATGGGATTTCCCCCCCCCCCCTCTAAATAATTACCTATTGGGGGATAAGGCTCTCATTTTACATTTGCTGATAAGAACAGAAATTGCTGAAAATAAAAGAATGAATAAGAGTGCTACAGATGCAGAGCCTGGATGCCTCTGAAGGTTAACTGTTAACTTGCAGAAGCTGTTTACTTGATAAATCAACTCTTTATGAATGCCTAAACTGGGTTTTTCTCTTTTTCTTCCCCATGTATTACCATGCAGTCTTGTTTTTTGCTTTCTATTATTTCTGAAGGAGGAAAAGAAATGTGTGTGAATTTGTACTTGTCAACTTATTAGTGTATATCTGAAACAACTCCAGCTCCCACAAGCCCCTGAACAATATCCATGTTTCCACTGCTTAGAGAAAGACTGGCACGATGACTATATTAAATATTCAAATCTTCATTTTCAGGTTAATGTTTTTCTTCTTCCAGAGGCACCACCATATACTGTTGAAAACTGCTCGAGTACTACTACCTCTTGAATCACTATTAGTAGATGTCACAACTATTGATGCAGAAATCAAAGAACCTAAGATCTTGAACTCATCAACCTGCTCAGCTAGCTCACCACTAAAGACAAGTTTAATCACGTACCATCAGTCGACATGGCCTTGAACTCTTCTACATTTATCCATAATCCAATTTTCTGTTTTGCTTTTAGTTCTGATTTCTTTCTGAAAACAGTGTCATCAACCTATGTTGCAATTGTGAACTTCTTCACACAACATTGAATCCTTATACTCCCCAACTTTTCTCCATTATTCAATCTATTAGCATGCTGAACAATAAGCTCTTTTCTCAGTTGTGCTTTGGCTGTGAAGGGAGTGATTTTTGTCATCATGTCCTTTAACTGTATCATCATAAAAGGCAACAATGAACTTGGATGATTTTGTTGGGTTAGGGTTGCTGATCACAAAGAACTTTCTATATTGATCTCTGGTGAACACTGTCAGAGGCACTCCTGACATCCATCAAGACAGTAATAATTTGTTCTCCTTAATCATGACACTCAATTACTTGCCTTATAGTGAAAATCTGATTCACATCACTATGACCCAGTCTAAAGCCACATTGGTCTTCCTGGATGGAGAATTCTATCACTGGCTCTAGATGTGTTTGATAACCTGCACACAGACATTTCTAACTGTTGTATAGACGGGCTAATTCTGCAACATGCTGTCTTAGTGTCACTCTTTTTAAACATGGGATAGTAGCAAATGTCAATTCTGCTTTCCATATCACTGAGAACAACCTATGAATATAATCAATACTTTTTTTCTAAAAAAAAAAAAAGGTGCCGGAATTCACACACGTTATACCACCTGCCTTACCTACCCTACAAGGTTCCATCCAAAAAAGGTGCCGGAACTCTGTTCTGGGCGTTCTATGACAAAAAAAGCCCTGAATATAATTAACTACTATAGCCATCCTCTCCCCCAGGCTTTAGCAACCCCAGAATGACTTGGTCTGTTCTGCAGCTTTGTTATTGTGAAGAAACATCTGTTTTGCTTGGCTTAGCTTCACATACAGTACAATATTAGGAGTTGATTTTGGATTATCTAGTTCCTGATCTAACACTGCTGGTGAATAACAATTTGAAAATAAATCAAAACAGTGTGTCCAATATTGCACCACTTTGATTGTTGTTTCAGAAACTCAACTTATCGCAATAGTGATGGTTGGGGTGGGGCAGCTGTGCTTCCCTGAAACTGCTTCCAAGGTTGAATAGAGTGTTCATTAACCATCACACCTTTCTGATGCTTCCACTGATCCTAAAATATCTCCTTTACACTTTTCAGCTTTTTGTGAATTAGTTTTGTCAGCTCTTTCACCTTTGCAAGTTTAACTGCATTTTTTCTTGTGTCAGGCCAATGATGTCATCCTATCTCCATTTCTGGCAGTGTTTTCTTCCATGTGAGGGCAGATAGATTTTATCACCATGTTGATGTGTTTCAACTAAAGACCAGTGACTCAAAGCTGAACCTTCTTAAGAATCATCAGCGTTCTCTGAAATGAATTCCAAAACCAAGAAAATTGGCCCTCTTGTTGTAATCAGATGTTTTTTTTAAAAAAATGTGATTTTAATGATTGTTTAATTCTCATCATTGTAATACTTTTTGTAATATTTTTTATTGTAAACCATCATGAGACATGAGTCAGTGGTATTTTGTCATCATCATCAATTTATCTTTTAGTAAGTGACCAGATTTCATATTCTCAAAACATCAAAACTAAAATAATCATCAGAACTTAAAAGTGTGAGTGCTTTATGAACTCTAAAATTAAAAAGTTTTCTAGTTTTACCATTTCTTTGTTATATATTGTTTAAATTTTATAGATAGGCCTTGCTTATTGACTGCCTTGTTTAACGACTGCTCATACTCTGACAGTGTTTTTAAAAAAACTTTGCAACCAATCTTCACATTTACAACCATCACAGCATCCCATGGTCATGAGATTGTCATTCAGGGGCTTTGGGACCAATTTTGGACAAGCAGAATTAATGGAGAAGGTGGAAGTAAAATCAAAAATTGTGGCCACGTGTCTTGTTTTTCCCTTTTTGATCTTTTTATTACTTTATAATATAAAATACAATAGCAAATAATAGGCCTTTTCTTTTTCCCTTCTTTTCTACACTTTTCCATTCCCTTTTCCCTCCTCTATGATGTTTTGCTTTTAATGACGGAATGGGAAGTCAGCTTTCCACTTGGTGATTGTAGTGCTAACCAAGTTGTTAGTCCCAATTGTGGTTGATAAGCAAGACTACCTGTATTTAATAGAACAAAAAGAGAAAAACAATCTTTTTCATTTCATTCCATCTCTATGTATTACCATTTCATATGTCCATTAAAAACTACTATCTATACCAGTTTTGACTAAATCTTTCAATTGAAATGAAATTAAGGCATTTCCTCTTAACTGCAACGCTTCTGTGCTCTGGACAGATACCTGTCAGTCAATAATTCATTACTGCGCTTGATTGTGCAAATGTAGTAATTAATTGAAATGTACTTCGCGATCCTACATTTGAGAGAACACAGTAAAAACGATGTTAATATATTTACCGTGGGATATTGCGAACTGGCAGTAATAACCTGGGTGCATTTATCTATTTCATCTGAACCTTCTGATGTATTTGTTGAAATGCCGCTTCCTGGCTTTCCAAGGAAGCTGCCAAAGAAAGGATCCGAGGCGCGCAAAGGAATGGGCGGGATCAGCTTCGACAACCCGCGATTCGGGGCGGTGCTTGCAGGCGTAGCCAAGGCGGGGCCAGGAGGAGCTACCGACGTCCCTGGAGGACCGGAGGTGGGAAGAGTGGGCGAAAGGGAGTCGTTCTGTCCTTTCCCCAAGCTCGGTGGTTAAGATGGCGGCTGCGGGGGTTGAGGGGGCGAGTCCGTGACGGCCTGTCCGGAGAACGGCGGTGAGGAGGAAGGAGGCAGAGCGGCTCTGGGAAGCGCCGAGTGCGGCTCCTAAAGCGGGGTAGGGGGCGGAATGTGAGCAGGAGGAGGAGACGGAGGGCTCTGGCGGGGGCCCAGAACGGGAGGAGAGCGGGGATGGGCCAGCAGGTGGGCCGCGTCGGCGAGCCGGGTGCCGCCGCGCTTCAACATCAGCCGCCGCCGCCACCGCAACAGCAGCAGCTGCCTCTTTCCCAGCCACAGTCTCAACCCAGAGGGCTTCGTGGGAGTAATAGCAGCGGGAGTAGGCCTGCCAGCCGGAGGCGAGAAGCAGCCGCTCCGCGAGCTGCCGACAGCGGCTTCAATATCTTCACCCAGCACGGTAAGGTGGGGAAGAGGGTTGGGGGGGGGAGGAGGGAGCGAGGGGAAAAGGAGGGAGTGGGTTGCGGCAGATGTTGGAGGCGGGTGGGTGTGGCACAAAAGCGGAGGCTGGAAATGGGGGGGGGAGTGTCATGAAGCAGGGCTGGTGGTGTTTCTTCCCCTCGCCTTAAAAAAGTGCCAACTATTTTTCGACAGTAGACAAAGGTTGGCTTCATCTGGTGTGCTGCCTCCAACAGTGGCCGGCTAGAACCCGTTGGGAAGCGCCCAAGTAGGTAGCAGCCTTCCCCTTGTTGTGGCTTCTCGGTGTCTGATATTAATAGATGGGGATTCCAGTTTAAGCATATATATGACAATAGAAACCACTTTCAATGAAGCGTGTTGTGTCTTTTCAAATCGCTATATTTTTTCCATTTCACCGATTAATATTTAAGAAACAGCTTTATTCATTTCATAAAGAGGTTTCAGTTTACAAAAGTGCATGTTCCCCATAAATGAGTCGATTTTTCTAAGTGTCAGAAGATATACAACCTGTCTACCCCTTCAGGTTAGGAAATGTGTGTAGTATTTCTCAGAAGTATAATTTACTTTGGCTTACTTTCCAGGTGTATATACTGATGCAGTAATTGTAGGAAGACTGTTTTTATGTTAGTAGCATATGGTACTGTATAGACTTGTAACCCTTTGGGTGATGTTTGTTAATGATTGTACTCATGGGATGTTTTGGATCTTTCTAACACGATGCTTTGTTCGCAGTCTGAATGTAGTTCAGCTGAGATCCTTGCTTTATGAGTACAATATTACTTTCCCTGTTTGTTAATTCCTATAGTCACAATAAAATTGAAGTGGTATTTTTGTTTGCCTATCTTCTTCTCATTAATATCCTAACAGCATTTTCTGTCATATGGTCCCATTTAAAATGCTTCTAGTATATTAATAATGTTGGCAAGATGCATGCCACAAAGTGCAATAATAAAGTTTTCCTATAATATAGCCCAGAAAGTTCTCCAGATGTTCTTTTATTTTTTTTTAGTTTTGTGATAATCATTTTATCATGATTCTTTTTTGTATTCTTTGGATGAATTGCAGTGATGTATCTACTCAGGTTAACAACCTGTTTCATTATGGCTTTTATTGATATTAATGAGTACAGAAGACAAATTAAGAGTTTGTGCTCTTTTGGGGAAAAGCTAGCATCTCTAACTGGGAGGCTGTGCAGTTAGGAAGATGAGAGATTCAAAGCTATTGGACCTTATTGGTATAGCAAAGGAAGAAGGTTTCTTCCATCACTCTTTTTCTCTTATGGTGATGTGATAGATACAGTATAATATTACTTGTACTATGCAATATTATGATCTAGGGTGATGTACAACTTTACTGTGGTTGGAAGTCCATGTGATATTTATAGAAAGCCCAAATAGGCACTTATTACCATCATATTGCTTATGTTATATCTTGTATCTGATCTGGAAGTAGCAAAATAGTATTTATTCAGCTAAATATCACTGGGTGATTTGCAATCTTGTATGGCATTTGATAATTTGAAATAATTATTGTATACCTGTTATGTATGTTGCTGTCTTTCTTGAAATGTGAGTTTCTACGAGTGATACTTACATTCAGCTTGAAGACAAAATGAAATAAGAGCTTATATATTTGCTGCAGGCAGATAGAGAAATTTTCAAATTTACAATGGCTTTTAATCTTCAGAAACCCCATTTTCCTAGACTCCTTGAGCTGTGGAACCTCAATTGTATAAGTTGTTCTGAAGAAGTCATTATGTGTGAAGTGAAAGCCAATTATATAGGTCATTCCCCTGAGGATACATAATGTATATAGATAAGATAATTAGGTGACATGTCCAATGATATTTAATCTTATTGGTGCATCAAGAGAAGAAAAATGATTGCTTCTGCACTCTTGTTCTTTTATGGTATCTACATTCCATATTGCTGGGAGTGATATGCTATCAATATAGCTTCTATGTCCTCTACTGACTAGTATAGAATGATAAAGCACACCACTGAGAAACACAGAAAGGCACTAAATGTAAATATATTTATTTGTATGTTCAATTTATATAACTGCTATCTCCCATTCATGATTCTGGGCAGCTTACAATTAAAACAATGCCAAAAAAAAAGAACAATTATACAAACATTACAAAAACATTAAAACAATTAAAAAGTAAAAACTGTACAGTCGCTGGGAGAAAATTTATAGAAATATTGGTAAAACCTTATAGCTATATTAATAAGAAATGATATTGTGTTCTCCATATATGGAGGAACCACTTGCAACAATGTGGACATGCTCATAATGCATCTTCTTGCATCACAACTCATACAAATGCTAACATAGTATTCTCTTTAATTCCTTCCAATGTTACTGTGTTTCCCTGAAAATAAGACCCGGTCTTATTATTTTTGCCTCCAAAGGAGGTATTAGATCTTATAGGTCTTTTCCATGGTCTCACTTCATGGTAGCACCAACAGCCCTGCCCAGCCAGCCCACTTCTTCTGCAGCCTTCAGGAAATGCCTCTGCAGCTGAGAATGGAGCTCCGGCCTGCATTTCGCCATCAGAGGCCTTCTGGAAAGGCCTCTGACAACGAAATGCAGGCTGGGAGGAATCTGGGATTCCATTCTCAGCCGCAGAGGCATTTCCTGAACGCCTTGACGACGAAATACAGGCCAGGGGGTGCTGCAGAAGTGGGCCGGCGAGGCAAGTGTCAATTCATGGGAGGCCTGGCTGCAATGGTAAGTGGGCGCGGAGCCCATAGGGCAGCTCCACCACCCCCACCCTAGCTTGATTTTTAGGCATGGTTTTTTTTTTTGTTAGAATGCAAAACAAAAATATTTTCCCACAAGCATACTATAATTTTAAAACCCCATTTCAAATTTATCTGGAATCTTTGTAATGATGCTACGACCATCATAATATGCATGACGATTGCCAAGCACCCAAATCATGATCACATGATTGTGGAGAGGCTGTAACAGTTATAAGTTGAGGACTAGTCAAAAGTCACTTTTTTCAGTACTATTGAAATTCCAGTCACTTAACAAATACTGTGTTTCCCTGAAAATAAGACCCAGTCTTTTTTATTTTTTTGCCTCCAAAAAGGGCACCAGGTCTTATTTTTGAGGGGTGTCTTTTCCACGGTCTCACCTCGCCGACACCAACAGCCCTGCCCAATCGGCCCACTTCTTCTGCGGCCACTCGCTGCTACTAACGCACGTCACCCTCAGCCTCCATTTCGCCATCAGAGGGCTTCAGGAAAGGCCTCTTCAGCCAAGAACCAAGCTCTGGATTGACACACGCCTGCATTTCACCATCAGAGGCCTTCCAGAAAGGCTTCTGCAGCTGAGAACTGAGCTATGGAGGCATAGTTTTTTGGCAGGAGGCATTCAGAGAGAGAGAGAGAGAAACAGTCCTATTTCTCAGAGAAGAGATATGATACTTAGTTGAGGACGGAAAATACTCTCCCAAATAGATTGCTAACCAGAAGCAAGCTTGATAAATGAGAGAAGACATAGACATGCACTTACGATATCTTCCTCTGGTTGATCATTGAATACGTTTTAGGACTGGGAGTCAGGAAATGCATTTGAGCCTATGATTAGAAAGCAAAGAAAATGTCCTTGCTTGTTTTTTTGTTTTGTTTTTTACAGCAGTCATGATGGAACAAGAAGTTCTCATGATTTAAACTTTAGTTATGTTCTACAAAACATTTCCTTATAGCTAGCTAGCAATTGAAGACTTTATAGATTTTGTCTTCCTGAAGGTTTGTGTAGGACTCACTGGCAAGTGGTATGGTGCATTTCATTTATCAACTAGCCATTTTACCCCTTTCTCTTTACTATTTTCTTAATAGCCAGCTTTGTCATACTGAATTTCAGGTATCTCTTCACTCCTATCCTTAGCTCATTGTTCACTATGGAAGCAACATCCATTTCATTGATGTACTGTGGAATTCATTGTCCATCAAAGTGTTTTGTGAAATCCTAGGGTTCTGTGAGAAGTCAATGAAGTTCCATGAGAGACTAAGGGAAAAAAAAAAAAAAAGTTTATTTTAGCACAGCCAATTTTCTCTCACTAGAGCTTTGTCTCTAGATCTGGAGTTCTGGCAGATTGTTTTAAAAAACTAACAGATTCTCAGCTTAAGTAATTTTGAAAACTTCTTGTTTAAAATACCAAGCAGAGAGGAAAGGAATCACTGACCTGAAACCTATGAGGCTCATTCCACAGCTTGTTGAAATCAAGTTACAGATGTGGAAACACATTCTTATCTACTACAGTAGAGCAAGGAAACAGTCCTCATGACAAACTCAGTAGTATCTGCAACCAGAAAATGTTGCTAACTTGGAATTGCTTTTCAATTTTTTCGATCAGAATTTATTAAAAATAGAGATAGTTCTGTTTGTCTATGACAGAAAGTTGAATTTGATAATAATTTTAGTATTATCACTATTGTACTTGTTCTTGAAGGGTTTTTTTTGATATAAATGTCTATCATATATAAATTTTGAGATTATATAAATTCAGATTGTATAAATTTGTTTTTCATCAAATAACTTCATCAAGACCAATGTTAGATTATTGCTTTGTGATATTTAATTTATCCATATAATAGTTATTATGGTACTGGTCCAGACTTTCTAACTTGGAATTGGAATAAGCCTTTACATAATATTTTCTAATATGGAATTGGACCTCTGGTTTGCTTGTCTCACCCTAACTATAGTCCCACTGGTAAGATGGGATATTTAACCAGCTATTAAAAGTATGTAAGTAACAATGTATGGCTCAATTTTAGTAACCGAATATTTTGTAGGTTAATCAAATTTATTTAGCTACCTATCTTACGGAAAGTGACTCTGGGCATTAATTCAATAAAACAGTAAATATAAAACAGTCATTACCTAAAACTGTTACATATTAATTATTTAAAAAATTGAAAATTATAAAATTAAACTAAAGAAAATAAAGAGAACTAAACAAAA